GCAAGGAAAATATAGGTAATCATATAGGCTGATATTGCATCGTTTGTGTTAAAATAATATTGAAATCCGATTTGAAAGCAATCACGTGACTTATCCGTAAAGCAATTAGTTTGCAATCAATCACTCGTAAATCAATAACTCGACGAGCCAAATCAATAATTAAAATGTTTAAATGAATATCCCGGTCTAGGCATGGGGATGCAACGACGAGGAATTCCCGAAAGCGAGTACGGCGCAGACAGCGGGAATGGTGCGTGCGGATCAATAAATCGCGCGAGCGTTTGCCGAATAAAGGGGGCTCACGCGGGTTCGGCTGTCTCTCTCTGAGCGCCCCCCCCCCCCAATTTCTCTCTCTCTCTCGCCGTTTTTCCAAGGGGGAAGGGATCGCCAAAGTCAACCGACGCGCCGCCGATAAAGATTCGACGACGAACCAAGTCAAGAGACCGCGTACCGCGTCTTATCCCTTTTCCTATATCAACGACTAACGATTTGGACGATGGCCCGACTCTGCGCCTTCTTCCCTCGGCAATGTGCGTGTTGATAGTCGTCCTTTGAAGGACTCACCTTTTTTTCTCTTTTCTCTTCCTTCTTTTCGCTTCGAGAGGAACGAGGAATCGCTTCTTTTGTGCTTCATAAGATTTTTTTCGTCTTCCTCTTCTGTCCGATTGAGACTTTAAGCTCCTTTATTGCACTCGTCTGACGACTGACTGCGTGTTTTTTTTCATTCTCCCATGCGCTCGATGTTCTCTCGCCGAATCAGATTGGATTTTAGATGTGAATTCATTTCGAGTCCATTCATAAATTGTCGCGAGAACGAACTGTTGAAGTTTTGACAAGGTTAAGGCTGCAGCAGCATGCCAAAAGAGGGAAGGACTCGAGTGGAAAGAGGAAAAAAAGATGTCCCGACAATCCTTGTAGTTGTACTGCCGAGTGAATTCAAAGAGTCTGCGAAAAACGCCGAGCGAGCAGATTATGGAAAATGAGCGGAGGATAGTTTGCGAATGAACGAGAGAGGAGAGAAAGAAAAGACTTATGGAAAACGCGCGGATTACCAGAGTCGTGCAGTCTGAGGCTGGGGGGCAGAGAGACGGGATTACTTCCAAAAAAGAGGAGAGTCTGATTTATTTACGCGTTCGGCCTGTCACACGGAACTTTGCCGCGAAAACTTTTTTTTTCCCAACCGAGCGTCCGTTCATTTCTGATTTATCAAGTGGAAAACGCAGTGAATTTCCAGCTGGAATATCTGGCTTTCACGTACGCTTATAAGAGGAGCGAAACTTTATTTTATTATTTGTTCTCGACAAGCGCTGTGACTCGATTCCGAAAAACTAAAACGCGTCGCCGAAGAAAACTATTTTATAGATTACTGTGTGGCTGTTCGCATTAGCGAAATGAAATGCTGCAGGTTTGCTCATAAAAATGCACTCACTGTGGCCCTGTGTGAACGAATTCAGTCAATTAGACTTTAACGCATTACGTATGGCTGTAATGATAGAAAGCTTTATGTATCCGTTTAGCCATTAGCGAGCGATTTTGATTGTACCATAATAAGCGGAATAAAAAGAGGCAGCCCTCCAATTATCCGTCCGCGCAGAGAGACGTGATGGTGGTTGCACTGGAAAATCTGGAGTCGTGCCAACTGGTTCTGCAAGCTCTTACTCTCACGTTGGAATTTTTATGGATTTATACGCGCCAAAGCTTTTTTTGGTTCGCCAGGAGCAGCCGCCGTCGAATCGCTGTACATTATTAATGTCGCTTTGTCCGATCTGTTAGCACTGTCTGTTATACGCTCTCCTTTGTGCGATTGTCCGCGTTTCAAAAGAAACCACTTTTTGCTATATAAAGAAATCTGAAAACATTTTTACTCGTCGATGTTTCTTTTACAATCCGATAAGCTTAAGAATCTGTATTATAGTTTTCATTGATCATACATTTAGCATACAAATATTTCCAGGGTAGACGGTGGGAAAGGATGGGGCCATTCATTGAAATCTGTATTTTCCTCATCAATATTCCCAACGAGTAGAAAACAAATTTGTATAATAAGACTTGCATGGAGCGAATAATAAATCAGCGTATCGAGCAATTAAGCACGAAAAAAAGGTAAAGGGGAAGACGGCAGCGGTGCTACCGTGTAGTGTATGTGATGATAATCGTTCGCGACACAAGTACCTATAGTCAGCGCGTGGCTCGTTTTTCACCGGATATGACAATGAGAGAGAGAGGAGAGAGAGAGAGAGAGAGAAGAGAGAGAGAGAGAGAGAGAGAACTCGACACAAGTACTTTCTTTGTTGTACGTATACATATGCGCGTTCATTGTTTGGCACAAGTAGTCCAGACGTCTCTGTATACGTTATTATTAACTAATTGTATGCCTGCATATTTCACGATACATATGCTGTGGTTGCAATGGAGATAAGAGACGAGAAAAATTGACGACCGATAGTTATTGAACGAAGGTTCGTGACTTGTCTACTGTTGTTGAAAAGCGCCGGTAGAATATTTGTGCTTGAAGCGAGTTGAACGTTGATATTAGAGGTCGATGAAACTTAACCTCGAAGATTTGTCCAAATCGAAACTTAATTAAGTTCAAGCAGGCGTAATAACAATGCTTTCTTGAAAGGTAATCAAAAATAGACTCGAGTGCAAGAGCGTAAATCTGTCTGGCCTCCGTGCGTTGCAATATTCGACTCACATCGGCGAAAACAAAAAAAGGCCTCTCACGCACGAAGAGCCTCGAGGGCTTTACTTTCCGCTTGTCTCCTCTCTCTCTCTCTCTCTCTCTCTCTCTCTCTCTCTCTCTCTCTCTCTCTCTCTCTCTCTCTCTCTCTCTCTCTCTCTCTCTCTCTCTCTCTCTCTCTCTCTCTCTCTAGTCAGCAGATTTCCTCTGTAGCCCTTCCGTGGCGCGTGGAATTAGTGCCCTCCGCGCGTCAATTGAAATCGCGCCCTCGTGATCTCTACTCGCACCCTTGTCACTTGAGAAATGCTTCTAATCAGGCGGATCCTGCTGCTGTTATTTGACGACCATGCGACTTGATTATTTGCAGTTAAGCACGCGAGCGCTCCTTTGATTGAGACATTTTTCGTGCGTTTGATTATTGATGTAACTTCGGGAAAAATATCTGTGTTGACGGTAAGCAGCTTGTGGAATTGGTTATCGTTGAGAAAACCAAGGGAAGTAGGAGCGCGAGCTTATGAGTAATACCCTCGCAACATAGCACAGCACCAATAGTTTTCACTCAACGGTCCAAAATACATAAGAAGAATCATTTTATTTTCTTCGACATATTTCCATATTAGTCTAAGAGTCAAGGGGAATTTCGTGGTTGATGGGCAGAATGGGTTCCATCCAAACGCTCTTTATGTATTTTGAACTTCTGAATCTGAATTTCTAGAGTACCTTGCTGCAAAATCAACAGATTAGTAGTTATTAACAATTTAATTGTTTAAATTGCCACAATTAGTTTATTAATCTACTCATCAACATTTTGTAAATTGACATGCATTCCTGATCTCACAAAGATTCATAAAACTTTCTAGGTACACAAATTTTTCAATAGAATAGGCCGTTAAATCAATTACTTCGCAATGTGTTTTCTTGAAAAAGTTTTTCGTTTATTTTAACATTTATTCAGAGTATATAATCTCCATAGAAAAATTATAGTAAGTAATTATTGCCGCTTTTTATAGTTTGAATTATTAGAACGATTTTATTTAACGTTATATTTTCAAAAAATATTTCAGACGTTCTTCATGACGGTTTATTAACCTCTTTGACTTTTTTCGATTTTTATGTATTTTAAACGCAGTTTGAACGCGACTATCCGGGGCGGCTTACCGAAAAATGCACGCGTAAGTAATTATTAACAAGCTAGATGTTTTGAATCGCCATTAATATTTAAATAATTATGATATTAACATTGTTCAATTTCCATGCATTTTGTATCGCACGACGAATGGTTAGGTTATTTTCGATTAACAAAATATTGAGTCGAACTCGAAATATTAAGATTTGAACAATAAGAAATCACATAGCTGCGCTTGACCGTGGGAGCGCGGCAAGTAGTTGACACAACCGCTCAACTAACAATTCAATATCACGAATTTTATTCAATATTTTTTGGCTCTGTAAAATTCTATGGGTTCTTTATAAGATCAGAAATGCATGGTAGTTGACAAAATTTTGATGAGTTGCTTAATAAACTAACTGTGGCGATTTAAACAATCAAACTGTTAATAACTAATTATCTGTTGATTTTACAGCAAGCAACCCTCGATATTCGGAATCAGGAGCTCAAAATATATAAAGAGCACTTGGATATGGCCAATCATGCCCATCTTTTATTACTATACATTGATGTTATGTGTAATTTTTTTAATTTTCAATATTGGAATGTTACATTATTAAAAAGTTTTATATTTCTATCGTAAAATAATAATGAAACTCTATCATTTATTTTGAAATTTCGAAATGAACTTTATTCCGAACGCGTCTCCCGAGACTATTTTTTTTTATTCACAGTTATCATTATCGTTTATCAACAGTTTATTGACCATAAGTATGTGTTACCAATTGTTTTTTGCTCGGTTAACATTCAAAATCACGTGTGTGTGCTTATTTGCAAGCTTATTTTCCTTGATAAGTTGTCTGTTACAACAACCAGAACTGAGTACTATCTAGCTTTACACGGATTTACTGACTAAAAAATGTCATATTCGAATTAGAAGTCGCGATACTCACTTTAAACATACGATTGGACAAATCAATTAACATGGATTATTTACTAAATACAGGCTAACAAGTTTGATAATGTTACTAATTTGTTGATATAATTTATAAAATGAGGAAACTAGTAAATTTGGTAATAGACTTCAAATGTTCATTTATTCAATGTGATCAGTTAAATTTTACTGACACTGTTTTGTGTATTAAAAGATAACTTGACTATAATATTTCTTTTTCAAATATTTTGCTTATAACATCATTTGTTATTTTATTATCCCATAGTCTTCATGGTACAAGCATGATGACAGTTGATTCCCGTCAAGAGTTTCTTTGATGCCTGCTGTTTCTGCCAAGCTGACTGCCAAGCTGAAAAGATATAGATAATTGGTATTCGATAAATAAAATTAATATTCTGTGGAAGTAATTTTCAAAATTTGTAAGTTAAATAGTCTTTTAAAATATTACGTAACAGAGCTTTCAGCTATCTTAACAATATTAATAAACGTGAATTACTTCACACTCACCATTGCATTTTCCCATGCATTTTTCATGGTCACCTGCAATTTTTAAAATTATACAAACAAGAATTAATTGAATAGATTACAGGTGCTATGGCGACAAATAAAAATCAAACTCACTTTCTTCCGCGAATACCATCATAAATGTGATAGAGAATGCGATCAAAGCGATCATGATTAAGAACTTTAATGTTTTCATGTTGAGTTTTTTGCACTAGTTTTTATCCTGCTTACAAAGGCAACATACAACTGACTCACCAACTATCGCGAAGAGCGGCTTTATACGATGGCAGTCATCTAAAGAAGATACTCTGTAACCTAGATTCAAATATCTTTTCTACAAAAAGGTCTTATCTACAATGTTCTTGGCATTGAAAAATTTATTGATATCATAATTATAATTGGTATAAATCTTAGAAAATTCTTTGATCGCAAAATCGTTGAATTAGAATATTTTTATCCGTTTGTCGAACCAATAACACCAACAACACAGTGCGCTTAGTAAAAGAAGATAACGGGTGGAATAGTGGCAGTGGAAGCAGTTTTGGACGAAATAAAATTGATTGCCGAAACGAGATCTTAAACGCGGGCTTCCGCGGAAGGCAGCTATCCAATGACAGGCTTCTTCCTGTGTGACAGTGCGAACCCTGCAATCGAGATGATAACAATTTGTACTCGTGGTATACACAGGCGTAAATGTGAATGCATGTATACGCATACATCTGTGTGTGGGCGTGCGACCAGTGAGTGAGAGAGTGCTGTTAAAGGGAAGCCATGTATGGGTTACTGCTACTGGTGGGCTTTATCAATATAGCCATACCCGATGCGAATGATGTGTAGACTAAGAATGCGGCCGTGCTGTTCGTATTCATAAAATGGATTGATCTACAGTGCGGCCTATAGATTGGTTTTTTCCTCTTGTTTTTTCCTCTCTCATGATGCCGGGGATTACAGTAACGTCCATAAATTTCTCACAACCAAAAATTATTTATTCCATTGACGTGTATCAGCAAACGCCTTTTTAAATATGTCGTGAGGTTATGTTCCCATACCGTTGACCTTCTAGTTCTATCGTAAGTGAGTATAGATAAGTTTTCCAGAACAGACTGGTCTTTATCTAAAGCTGGCATGACGTTTTTGCTTGTGCTTTATCGCTGTCCCGTTTTCTCGCTTTGAAAAAAAAGCACGTGCACGATACTTGATGTGTTAAAAATACACGTTTGTAATGTACTAAAATGCCTTTATAGCACTGCGTAGCTTAAATTAGCACTTAAGTAACGGCTTCAGTAACTATTCGTGACTTAAGTACTTTATTTTGCAACGTGCTTAGAGCACGAGCGCTAGCGAGCGCAAACATCACGGTGCAAAACTCACCCATATTAGGTCATGGGTATATAAACCATAAATGCTGATTTAAGATCGGCAGTACTATAAAATGTTGTACGATACTTGTGACTCGAGTATCCCATCGTTGCCCATTGTGATTATCGCCCTTGCTTGAGCTCGCCCGCTAATGTTACACCGTGCAATAATGGGCTACTTGACTCGCACCTATCATAAGCTAATGTTTATTTATGAGTATTATAGATACAAAATATCTATATTCTGAGTGAATAAGAATTTCCATGGATGGGCATTAAAGATTATTTCATTCAGTCAATAATACTTACAGACAATAAATTACAGTTATATCGGTATGTCTCTATAAATTATTTCGTATCAATTATATTCAAAGAAAATTATTCGTTACGGTTTATCCTTATTTAACTTTAGCTTTTATAGATTTTTCAGAGATCAGGCTGCTCGTCGAATTATTGTTGTTATTATGAAAAAAGAATTTTTAGGTAATTTTCATTTATTACTTTATTAGTAATACAAACAAAATTGTCATTATTGCGTGCGTAAACTGACGCGTATCGCATTATGTATTCTTGGCACTTCCACGGTTGAAAAACTTTCAAAAGGATTTATCGATATAACAATTCTTAATTTCATTAATTTTTACTGCGGGATTATGTAACTCGCTATCAATACATAGATCACAAATTATTATTTCGAGTGTGTTGTAATAAAAGTTAAAATTTTAAAAAGAAAGCATATTATACGTATTTTGCCGCATCGGCATATATTTTTGAAATGAAAAAAGAAGACATAAGTCAATCTCTCCCAGACAGCAGATAAAAACTTACTCTTATCCGATATACTTGTGACGAGAGCAAGCGTTGCGCTTGTTCGAACTTGTTCGAAGAAAAAACGAGCGACACAGACGGTAGTGAGCCGAGCAGTCAATCAGAAGATTTCCAGTCGATCAGCAATTAAGACGGTTTAGTCGGTCAGCGGTGCAGAGTGCAGTTGAGAACAAAAGGTCAGCCGAACGCACATGCCACCAAGGAGCCGAGAAGAACCGAGAGGAAACGAGGACAAGCGCCTTGTTTCAGCATCTGCTCGGGGCGCTACCCTGGAGGAGCCGGCAGGAGTTGCCGAGCGACGGCAAGCAACATCGTCCGCAGGGCGCAGCCAGGCCTCCCGTTCCTGCATTGAAGGTCAAGGCTCGTAATCTAATTCCTCTCTCTCTCTCTCTCTCTCTCTCTCTCTCTCTCTCTCTCTCTCTCTCTCTCTCTCTCTCTCTCTCTCTCTCTCTCTCTCTCTCTCTCTCTCTCTCTCTCTCTCTCTCTCTCTCTCTCTCTCTCTCTCTCTCTCTCTCTCTCTCTCTCTCTCTCTTCCTCTCTTCAGCGGTATGGCACAGCGCGTAATTGTAAGGATCAGGTAGGTAGCAAGGCGTACACGCGCCGAGTACCTGCCCTAATTACGGTCGGCGACATAAATTGTTCAGGTAGAGAATCGTCAAGGCGATCTCTCGCCGGGCGGCTTTATTTTTTAGTTTAAGTAGGCTAAGTCTGTTAATTTGTTCTTTGTTCTCTATTGTAATAGATGTTAAGAACACCGTTGTGTTCTATAGTGTTAAGACGTGTTCGCAACACCGTTGTGTTCATTAGGTTAAGATTTGTAAAGCTGGTTATAAGTAGAATTATGCGGTTTGTTCTTTTGCGGTTGTTCACGAACGGTTTTGAAGTTTAAGTATAATTTTGAATTAGATTTGATTTGAATGCAAATTTTTGTTGTGTGTATAATTCCTTAATTATTATCATTTCTTTACCCCCCCCCCCCCCCCCGATTGCTATGAGCGAGTACGCCTCACTTGCCCACATTAAAAATTAATAACGAACGAGTTTTCGTTACATACTATTTACATGAGAGGGAGATTAGTTGTACACAGACCATTGTATGAAGCGGTTTAATTGTATATAGTAATAAGTTTTATGGTAACCTTTTACGATTTAATTTTTTTTTTTTAGGGCTTTAAAAATGTTATTCGCATGGCTCAACTTTATTTCTATTATCAGTGTTTTCTTAACCAATTGTTTTGCTGCTGAAGATGATTCTAGCCTGAACAATCGTCCAATAATAGGTACCTTTGAGTTTCTTATGTCTAATATTTTGAATTTATTTTAGTACTGTCATAATTTATTATTCTGATTTATTGATAACGATTAAAAAATCATTACATAATTAAAAAATATTTCAGGAATTTTATCCCAAGAAATATCTAAGAGATGGACAAAAGTATATCGAGATACATATGATAGCTACATAGCAGCATCCTACGTTAAATACATAGAAAGTGCAGGTGCTCGAGTGGTTCCTATATGGTAAATTTCAGAAATGGAGATTGATTTTTTTATTACATCGCAAATTTTACAGAATATTCTATTTGATCGAGAAAAATTTTTTTAGGATTGGTCAAGATGAAAATTATTATAAAAATATGATCAGTAAAATTAATGGGTAACTTTATTTTTATAAATTTATTTAACACTACTCATGAGTTGTGAATCATATTTTTGAATTTGTTTGTGAATAGCGTTTTGTTTCCTGGTGGTGATGCATCTTTTAATATGAAGAATGGATATGCCGATGCAGGAGAAATAATATATAAGTATGAAAATCTCATTCTAAAAAAAATCTATGGTGTTGAAATGGGATAAAAAATAAAATTATTAAAAATAAATTTTTTCAGACTTGCTACTAGATATAATCATAATGGTAATTACTTTCCACTTTGGGGTACATGTCTTGGATTTGAGTTATTGACTTACCTTGCAGCTAATCGCTTTGAACATAGAACGCACTGTTCTAGCCATCACCAAGCTCTTCCTCTGCAATTTGTCACAGGTCAGTATATTTTAGTTATTGTATGAACATACCAATCTGTGAAAGCTATATAAAATCTTTTATACTTTAGATTTCAAAAATAGTCGATTGTTTAAAAATACACCGACTGATATTATCAACATTTTAAAAAAAGAGAATGTCACGGGGAATTACCATAGTTTATGTGTTACAAAACAGGTAAAATAAGAGTCAGTTAAATATAATTAAATGTCTATTACAGTACTATAAGATTTTTTATTTACAGGGTCTTATTAGAGCAAATCTAACAAACAAAATTCGCGTAATTTCTATGAATTATGCTTTGGATCATACAAAATTTATATCATCATTCGAACATATTAAATTACCCTTTTATGGGGTACAATTCCATCCTGAGAAAAATCCTTTTGAATGGATTAAAGGATTGAACATTCCTCATACGCGTAATGCTGTCAGAGTAGCCCATTATTTTGCTGACTTTTTCGTGAATGAAAGTATGCAATTTATTTTTTTTCAAAAAGTTAACAAATATATAAATATATAAGTATATATTAAAACCTTAACTTTCATATCCTACGTTTGCAAACCAAGCGAGTATGATGAGCGACAGCGTTTAATTTTATTGTATTAAATGTTTGAAATAGTTTATAAAATCGAATAATTTTTGTGATTTGAAATATCTTATTTTTCAGCTAGAAAGAATCACCAGAAGTTTTCGGATGATCAAGAGGAAGATAAAGCTTTAATTTATAATTTTAATCCTCAATTCACAGGAGTTAACAGCTCTTACTTTACTCAGATGTACATGTTTAAGGCAAAAGATATTATTATCCGAATAGGGGACTAATGTTTTTGACATATTATTAGAAGTACTTTCAAAAATTGTAACATTTTGTATGTAATAATCTATCAACGGAAATACAGGAAAAAAAGTGGAATGCAGCTTATTATTGTACACTCTACACTTAAATGCTATGGATTATGTTATGTATTTGATGTCGATGCCACCATCATGTGCATTCTAAAATACAAAATTAATATAGTATTATAGACAATTAATTCGTACCATTCTAGATTACAATTTACCTCTGAACTTGAAACTAATAGCAACATATCATTTTTGGAATTAAAACTGATTAAAAGTAATTATAAATTAGAATTGAACTGATTTCGAAAGACAACTGAAACGGATTGAGTTTTGAATTTTCATTCTAATCTTACAATACAAAAAAAATTAATATTGTTTCTAATTTAGTTGACAGAATTATTTGACTCTCTGATAAAAAAATTTTACACAGAGAATTTAAGATTAGTCAGACATTTAAAAAAAAGAATAATTACTCAATTTCATTCATTAATAAACACATACATAAATATATATCTAAACATAAAAAAAAGAATGAAAGTTAAACGAATCCTGCTAGTTCTAAACAATCAATAATTGATATACCAAATAATATTAATATATTCAAAAAATGTACATCTACTATGAATAGCCATTGCATCGCAGCAGCTCCTTTGTTGACAAGACCACTACAAAAGATAATATGTATAGACAAAGACAAATCTAAATTTATATATAGAACAGGTTTCAATGTAAACATTCGCCCTTATGCGGCTGTCCCTTTAGCTAGGGCCTAAAAGATGTAGGGGGAAGTCTTAACTGAGGGCTTCTTCCGACTGCTCCGCACTGACAACTTTTTATTGCGTATCAACGTGATATACTTGTATAAAGCATCGACAAGTTGTATATCTGCGCCGTTGTGCCTCACATATCGGACTTTGGACATCGCGCAACAGCGATTATTTACATGAACGGTGATAACCGTGCGTGGAATGCATCTGCGAATATCAGCGATGCATTTGAAAAGAACTGAGGACGGAATCACATTAGTTAAGAACGTAGCGCGTTCTCTAGAGTATCCCCAATCTTGGGGCTTTGCCCACCTATTTCGACGACGACGTAGCGTGGGTTGTTCTCGTATTCGAGCTACCGAGCGCCTTAAACCTTGGGGGCATCCTCCTTATCTATTGTGTGTGCGTATGCCTCGACCTGGTAAGAAATAGAACTTGAATGGCCATTCAACCTAGCAAGATCTATGCAGGCTATCCGGGCCTTTTCTTCAGTATTGTAGCGTAATAGCTCTCTGCCCTATCCTAATTATTTGTATTAAATTGAATTATTATTTGATTGAATATCTTATATTATTGCTTATATTCATAATAACTTGTATTTTAATTGCAGTAATTAGATGGCTATAATCCTATTAGGACTAAGGTTTTTATGCCGATTGATTACTGATTTTTTTGATTTTCATTAAAGCACACAATTTTTATTTAAATTTTCCTTTGTCTTTCACAACCCGCACTGTACCCATTATCTATATACATATAACGATATTTGTTTACTGTTCGTTCATTTAATTCAACTCCAAGTGAGACTTATAATTTGTGTCGTTTTATTACCTGCTCGGATAAATGCAACTCCTTGTTAATTTTTTTTTAAGTTCTCAAATTATTTTCATTGTAAGACTAGTTGAAGACATACGAATATAAAAATCAGTAGAGATCCGAATAGGCATGTATAAAATATGTAGACAGGAAACAGTATGCAGGAGACGTATGCAGTTTCGTTTTCCTATTTCGTGCATTGAACATGGAACATTTGCCATTGGCAATTTGGCAACTTAAAAAAACTATGCAATGACTACATTTTCTAAATTCATAGAAATATAAATAAGTTGAATTATTTTTTTATTTTGTTGTTATCTATAACTATTTCAAGTTTCAATTCTTTTGCAATTTCATTTACTTATAACATTCTTGAAAATATCACTTGATTAGAATTTAATAAATTCACTTATATAAATCAGATTGTAAATGTAATAAAATGTAAATCTTATTGAAGTAATGTATTGGAAACTTTCTGAAATTTTAGCTTTTAAGTTAGCATGTAAAATACATAAGATACTTGAAAATCGTTAATCAGAAATGATTGAACGCTTGATATAATTTCAAAATAATTGTAAAAATATTTGAGATTTGAACTTAGATTATTGAACTTCGGCTTGATTTAATAACAGATACATTAAAACTCTTTAGAGAATACTCTTAGGAGAATACTTTTCTCTTATTTTTTGAAAGCATGTAAATTTACGATTATAAATATTTCTAAAATGTCGTAGTTAGCGTATAAAAAATTGTTAGCAAAAATTAAATATAGATTTAAACCAATGTTTGCATTCGTTCAAATATAAAAACTAACCAAGAATTCTTAGTTACATCAAAAAGTTAGGCGTATAAAACGACAATAATGAATGTAGTAGAAATTTAGCGTAATGGTTTTTATTGTTTTCGTGTTTCAGAAAATACCGAATCTGTAGAAATAAGCAGTAAAACTTTAATAATGCACTTAAAAGTGTTTACATGCTTGTTCATAATGAGCATTCTATCTATTGATGCTTACTCAGCATTGACTAATCACGATGATACAACCACCAACAATCAGCCAATAATTGGTAAGTTGAGATGTTTACAATTAATAAATTATTAGATGTCTTTTGACATTTTTCACGTCTTACTGTTTGCAAAATTTTTGTGCACGTTACATAATATTACTTCGTTAGAATGCGATAGTTTAATATATTTAAAAAATTATTTTTTAGGTATTTTAAGCGAAGAACTTCTTTATGCTTTGGCTGAACTCTATCCAAAAATGTCGTTGGCAGACAGTTATATTGCAGCATCTTACGTTAAATTTGTTGAAAGCGCGGGAGCAAAAGTTATTCCTATATGGTAGTACATCGTAATCTAAGAATCACAGTTTGCTCATAATTACGTAAATTATTAGTAACTGAAATTTTATTTTTTAGGATTGATCAAGAAACCAGCTATTATGAAAAAATTCTTAGTAAAATTAATGGGTAATTCATTGTTCAAATTTGAAATAAGATAATACATAGTTCTTACCATACTTATCTTTATTCATACTACTTTGATGAATAGTGTCTTATTCCCTGGAGGTTCGCTATGGTTTAATGATACTAATGGTTATGTTGATGCCGGTGATATTATTTACAAGTTAGTGTGAATTTCATAATTTATTTTTTCAAAATATAATACAAATTCTGTTATCAATTTGAAGTTAATTCCAAATATCTAAAAATATTGTATGTGGAGTATTTTATGTATATTTTAGAATCGCGAAGAGATATAATGATAATGGAGATTATTTTCCGATTTGGGGTACCTGTCTGGGATTGGAATTATGGACTTTTTTGGAAGCCAATCGCTATGATCATAGAGTACGTTGTTCTAGTCAAAACCAAGTTCTGCCTTTGGAATTTAGTGCAGGTCAGCCATTTTTAAAGTTAAATTTATACTTCAAATTCTCATTTATATTTATAAACAAATAAGTACGACATATTTTATAGAGTACGTTTTTATTTTAGATTTGATGTATAAATATAAGTTTTTAGAATTTCTCGATGAAATTAATTTTGAAATAATTACGAATGATAACATGTGTTGCATCAGATGCTGTAAGATCTATATTGATTTCAGGTTTCAAAAGTAGTCGTTTATTTGAAAATGCTACTGACGAAATTATCAATATTTTGAGCAAAGAAAATGTGACAGGGAATTACCATAGTTTATGTGTCACAACAGAGGTACGTTTCAAAGTTTAACTTGCTAGCATTATTTTGCTTGCAAGAATATTTATATTTCAATTTTATTTCTTTCTATACATTCACTTATGCTAACAGGGTTTAATAAAAGCTAATCTCACAAGTAAACTTCGCGTGATATCCGAAAATCACGATAAAAATGGAAAAAAATTTATATCAACATTAGAACACGTCAAATATCCTTTCTATGGAATCATATTCCATCCTGAAAAAAATGCATTCGAATGGGTTCGAGGGAAAAATATACCCCATTCCCACAATGCAATAAAAACGACTCACTACTTTGCCAATTTTTTAGTGAACGAAGGTATTGCAATGCCATACTTTATGTTGTTTTGAAAATTCATCACTGAGATAATAAAACTCATAATACGTATGTCCATTATTTTTTCAGCTCGTAAAAATCGTCATAAATTTTTGAACGAACAAGAAGAAAATCGAGCTTTAATAGGTAACTATCCTACTTATTTTACGGGGAAAAACGGATTACCCTACATGTTTGTTTACATGTTCAAAACAAGAAATATCAGAAACTCTACTGATACGAAATGTCTAATAAACTGGCCAAGAACAATTCACGATGATTGGTAGTTGTGAACTTGGATGATTATAAATTTCGCTGAAGAATTTATCGATCTAAATTGGCTACGTATTGTAAAAAAAAATATAAAAATCTGCAAATTAATTCATTTTGGTAAAGCATTTGAGCTTATTACAATTAATTTGGTCGAGAGGTATTTTCAAAGTGTACTTGTAAGCTTAGGATGTTTTCAAAGACATCTTGGAATTCATTAATATACTTGATAAATCCACAGTGTCCGTACGAAAAATCGACAATTACTTTATAGATAGAACGATTGCTAGCAGTTGGTCTTCTTCAATAATAAAAGATCTTGAACGCATCTGTTGCAAAGAAGCTGTTGGTGCCTATGAGTGAAAAATAGGTAAGTATACGCGTGCGTGCCGGACAAGCACAGCACGTAAATAGAAATGGGGAAGGGGAAGAGAGCGAACAAGGATAGGAAACAATAGCGAAGCTATACGTGTTGGGATAGGGAAAGTCGTGCGTCTCGTTACGCGCTAGCAACGGATCCGAAACTGCCGTAAAAAAGTCAGCCGCTCACGGCTGTTAAAGTATTTTACGGCGATCCCTCTCTCTTCTTTCGCACGTTGAAAATTGTAAATCCGCCGTGGGATGCCCAGTTCAAAGTGTTCTCTCCAAAAGATATTGAAAAAACCTATCGCGCATTCCTCACCTCGCAGATCCATTGAATTTCAATCGCCTAGTATTTACTTTGGCGTAAACCTACATTTAAATATTTAAGGCTGTTTTTCTTTATATTTACACTCGGTTTCTAATCGGATAAGATTTGGCACAAACAGTGAAGCCGGCGCTTCGAGCCTCGATTAATAACTAATAGGCTTACCAACTGCGCCAACGCAGTGCTTTCGGATTTAGAGTCGGTGCCGTGTAAGCCGATCCTATTCAAAACCTGATTCTCACGTTTAAATTTCGTCCGAGGCAAAGCCCAAACTTGGCCCAACTCGATCAGATCGTTGTTCCGCGAAGAGTGCAAAGTTGATTTGATTCGCGTTCGCGGCATCGGCGCTCCCCAGGCGAAGGACGTACACGTGTTGGTGTCGTCCGTCCCGTGCTTGCGAAAATACGCAGACGAAACGGGGGAAAATCCAACGCACGGGTTTTCGCAATGACCCGCCGGACAATAGCCGATGCTTTACGATTGGCCCCGCGCCGTTTCTGAAGCGTTACGTACATCCCTTTCTATGAGTTTAGGGACCCCCCCCCCTCCTCGGAAAAGCGGAAGAGAAAAAAGCTTCACTTGCAATCTGCGAAGCGTTGGGGACAGAGCTAACCCTCTTTAAGTCTAGCTTTGGCTCTTAGTGTCGAGTATGGTTGCGATACGTGAGTGCAGTGCGTAGCAATCAGTTTCTTTTTCTTCGTTTGCGATGTCTTTTATAAGTCTTTCCCGTGGTTTATTTTATTACTTGCGCCTAATTTTAAGTCTCATACTTTGTATCATATTTACTTGTAACTGCTCACACTTGGTAGGATTTTTTATGCCGGCCACTTGTCAGCTGTATAGTTTCTTCTTTTTGATAATACGTAATAATAATTCGGGTTTCATTGTAACACGGTATCGGGTCATTCGTCAACCTGTACGTATTCCTCACGTCCTTTTCTAACGCGTCTCCTCAGAACATACAATTTATGTTTATTTATTATTGATATATTTTCCTATATGAAAAGAACAAGTCGTCCGGGAGTGGGGAGTAGCCTGTGGACGTGTGGTGCGAACCTCGACAGCTTGCAAAGCGCTTGGCGCGCGCAACCCTCGCTCGTGCGACAAAGTGCACGCAGTGCCAAAGCGTCCGAGGGATCACGTACGGCGCGGGCGCGTCGTCGAGAGGAAAGCGCATGTAAAGGTGCAGCGACGGCCACTAGACGCACCAACGTCACAGCTGTCTCGCGCAAAGGTTCTTCACCCGAGCTCGTCTGGCGTTGTCGCGTCGCTGAATGTCGAGCGATCGCGAGCGAGCATTGTTCTGGTGAGCTTAATCGACGGTGCTTTCTGCGGCTTGGAGAGCCAAATCGAGAGAGTGAGAGAGAGAGAGAGAGAGAGAGAGAGAGAGAGAGAGAGAGAGAGAGAGAGAGAGAGAGAGATGTTTGTTGACGTGCAAGAGGCTGCACTCTCGGGGCTCTGCATTGCAGTATCGACGGGCAATTAGGCTGCCGATGGTTATGACTACAAGCCAGAACGTTCCCTCGGCTTTCTCTCCTATCTCACCGCCGCGAAAACCAACTGATCGAAAAATCAATTCCTGCCTCCTCCCCCTTGTCAGCGCGCCTATACGACTGGCTTGAAATTCGATAGGCGCACTCGTGGGCGCGAAAAAGGCGACGCGGCAAGAGTACGTGACTGGCGCGCGACAGTCCGTGGCTTTGCAGCTGCACTCGTCGAGGAAGGAAGAAGCGTCGTCGATGCATCAGCAGGCCGGGCGAGTACGTAGACGCGAGCCGTGAGAGTATCAATGCATCGGTCTTCCTCGCGGTGCTGTGTGCGTTGTGTGTCAGGTGTCGATTGCGAACGACGCCCTACGCCGTTCCACTATCAATAGGCTGCATCGAGAAGTGGCTTAGAAAGTCAGGTTTCAATCAAGCGAGCATCGTTTGACTTGATTCTGGTTCCGAACGGCATTCCACACATTAGCGCTGCTGCTTTTGTCTGCAAACGCAAACAAAAGCAGCGGCAGGGTATAGCTCTTGCGTGGAACCAAGCGAGAAGCGTAGTCGTGCTTCTCGCGAGACTGCGGCTATAGCCGATATCCGATGGCGTTATCGCGGGCCATGGAACAAGCTCCATTCTGGCGTCTAATCCACTCGGAGTAAACCGAGTGTCCGATACGAAAAAGAGGCAGGGCGAGCTTTATTGACTTTTAAGTAGTGTCAGTGTCGCCGTCCCTTCAACTTTTCTTCGCTTTTTTCGCTCTGCCGGGTCTGCCGGGTCTGCCGGGTATGCCGGTGCCGCCTCTTGCCTCTTTGAAAAGGTTAAGCTCCCTCGCTATCTAAAAGTCGATAGCTACAAATCGGATGCATTAGGAGGCTGCTGCTACAGCCTTCGCAAAGGAGTAATCTCTTTCCATTCGGCTTCCGAGAGGTGCTCGACACATTTTTAAAGGTGACCTGAATTTTTCATTCTAACGCCGAGCGTGCAATAGAATAATAGCTCTTCGGGCGTGTAATCGGTGGCCTTTCGTCGTCGAATTTTCGAAACAAGCGGAACGCGCCTTTGTACATCGTATAAAATCGTGCAGACTGCGCCTACTGTGCTCTCCGGTGAGAGAAGCTGCCCACGGTACGCGCCACATCGGCTGGCCCTACGAAGCTTTCAAGTGGCTATCTACTGATGCTCGCCGCCGCTCGACGTATGCATCTCTTTTGACACCGCGAGGCGTGATTACTCTGGAAAAAAAGCTTTTATGCGGCGATCAAAGGGAATCAGTGCCGTTCGTGTGCGTGTAATTGTATTGTCGAGCGCGTGCATGGCGAGCCTCTGCTGAATGACGTCTATTAGGCATTGAACATGGTTATTAGGGACTTTTTGTGGCTTGTTTCCATAGCGAGTAGTATCGAATGGCCGATCGACAATTTTGTTGTTGGAACATTAAGATTCAGCCGCTATGAATCAGCTTCTCTTTTATTCACGAGCAATATCCGCGATGGTCTGATCGAAAATTAAGAGAGCTTCCGGCTTTTGTTATATCCATTCCTTAAGGAGACGCCATTATTCAAAGTATTATTCCATCAATGAAAATTAGTTTTCAAAGCCAATCGTCCGGAATATTATTCCTCTCTATTGTCTGCAGTCAATAAAGAGCACCTCGATATCACTCTGTCATCGAGCAAACAGCCAATAAGAAAGCCATCCCGAGCTGCTTTTCTCTTCGGATCAAGTGATAATTCAAATTTCTGTGGCCGTGAATTATCATAGCTTAATTAAGAAAAGAACAAGATAGCAAAGCAAACAAAGTTCTAAATCAATCCGTCGCAAGTGCGGCAAAAGTTTTTGCCGCATACGCAGGAAAAGCTCGAAATGCAGTTACTTTTGATATACGTCCATGGCGTCCATCGATATGCCATCCGGCAACATGGATAAAAGCCACTCTCTACTCTCTCACTCTGCTTCGAGTCTCAAAGTCGAGCATTAATTGCCCCCGAGGCTAAGAACATCAATTATAACGGAGAAGGGGAGAAAGAGCAAAGGAGGTCGTCTTCCTTGCTGGCAGCGACAGAGAAGACATTATTCCGGCAAAACGAATGTTTAAGTAGAAATAGGCAAGGACGAGCCGGATGAGGCGAGCACGCGGGAGCGAGTTGCGCATGTGCGAGTGGCGCGCGGCTTCGGCTGGTGGATCTGCGGACTGGAGTGCGAGCCCCGGCGGCGCTTCGCGCGCGATGACGCCAGTACGGCCCGCGCCCTCGGCGGGCAGCTGCAGTCGCTCGGCAGTGTTCGTCGCGCGAGTTGTTGTTCACGCGCACTCACACAGTGGTTTACTCTGCTCGTCGTCGTCGTCGTCGTCGTCGTCGTCGTTGTTATTGTTATTGTTGTTGTTGTTGTTGATGTGCCACTGTTGCCGCTGCCGCGACGCCGGAGCGAATGCGCAATTAGAAAGAGAGAAAAGGTGCCTTGTCTTTGATACAATTTTTTGCGGCTTGTCCGTCTTGCAATTGTACGCGGACGTATGCGCGAGGCAGCGCTGCTGTGCGAGGATACGCGCAAGCTCGCAGTTTCGCTGAAGTGTAGAAGCGCACGCGGTCGTCGTGGTCGTCGATTTCGACTCGCGGAGTCGACAGGCGCCTGGCAGAGAGAAAACCTGCAGCAGCATGCGTGTGCGAGGAGGGCAGAATGCACGTGGAGCTTTTCGCAGAGCGAGGCTCTTTGTGTGCGCGCGTGGCGCGCGTGTGGCCGTGTGCGCCGGCCGCGTCTTGCCCTGCCGCGCTCTCGCAGCGTCGAGAGCATCGCCAGCACCAGCTGTGAGGCTGCTTTGAAAGCCGCCCGGCAACTCGTTTCTCTCTCGCTCTGGTTTTTCCGTCCCTTCGTCCGTCCCTTCGTCCGTCCCTTCGTCCGTCCCTTCGTCCGTCCCTTCGTCCGTCCCTTCGTCCGTCCGTCCGTCCGCCCGTCCGTCCGTTTGTCCGTGCCAGATCGATCCTTGTCCTTGCTGCTGCTCAGAGCGCTTCTGCCGCGCGACCTTCGAGTCCGCGCTCCTCTGCGTCCTACTCACGGTCCAGTGAATGACCGAGTGCACTTGCTCGCGAACCGGGGGGCTTTTGTGCGCTGTCAGTTTGAACATTTTACGGCAAACAGGGCTTTCTGGGATATAGGGCAGCTTGAAGTCGCGCGGTAAATGAGCGAAGCTTCAATGGCTGCTGTACCTGAACAGCATCTGCTTCTTCGAAACACCCTGTCAATAATGCTTCGCGTACGGTCGTCGTTGACTTACCTGCTCGATTTGCTCGAGAAACTAAACTAAACAAGCGGGGTGTCGCATTGTTCACTTGGCTTTTTCCGCAATGAATGAGTTGCCGCAACGGGAAGCTCGTAGCCGACTTTCACGATCGAACTGCAGGCTTGCGAGTTATATCGGTACAATCTCCAACTGACTTGGCGCCGCGCGCGAAGCTTTCGCAGCGTTGCAGTGGTAAACTCCGAAATTTGAGAGAAAGCCAAAGTTGAATTTGCGTAATCAAAGTGAGCTGCATCAAATCAAAGGAGAGCTTATCGCATGGCAGACTAATGACATTAAGGAAAGCAGGCCACCGCCAAAGCGGCAACTAGCCGCGTAAGGGGGAGAGCGAGAGTTGGAGATATAATGCGTCCCGTAACGAGATCGGGACTGCAAGTTTTTGCCCGCTGTCGGCCATAAACCATAAATCAGCGCGCCAGACGAGCCAGAGAGCGCGGCAGGTGCATATGATTCGCTCCCCCGTGGCACCACCACCACCCACTACACTACTGTCACTGCATCTGTCCCCTCGGTTTCATATCCGCAGGGGGACCTCTCGCGAATTGCGATTGTCATGAGCCGACGATTCCTTCTTTGTTTGCTCTCTCGACGAGGCAGCGCACGCGTGGTATCTGCCGGCGCGCGTGGTATCTCGCAGACGTGCGTGCGCGATCATCGCTCGCACGGATATCGACCGGACGGCTAGACTGGCGGGACGCTGCGCGCAATAATGGCAACAAGTGATCGAGCGCATTTGCAGTTGCGGGACATCCGCGGCGTACCTCTCCTCGCGTCGCCCTTATTGCGGGATCACCGCGAAAAGCAAAGAAGGGCAGCGACCGCGGATGGGCCTGCTGTACGTATGCACGCGCGTTCCCTAGCAGGCGGTTCGCTGGGCTTCGCAGGTGCGAACGGTGCGCCATTACTCGGGGGACACACTGCCCGATTTTCCGCCGAGATAGTTTTTTCGCAGCGCTGTGCCGATCCGACGCTTTATTAGTTTTTATTGTTGCGGCAGACTGCAGACTTGCCAGACTTGCTTGCGGACGTAGTTGCTTCGACGGGATGGAAACGCTTCATCGATAAAAGTGAAGTGAGCAAAGATGCTCTCCGCGGTAGTCTCGCTTGGCTCTGATTTTTAGAGAGCCGCGGTCTGTTCTCTATTTCCCAAGTCGATTTAACATATCGATTAAGGAGAGATTGGGTGGCTGCCAGTTTTTCGAGTCGATCGCCGGATGCAATCACGTAATAAAATACGAAAATTGTTTTTGCCAGGGAGTCGCGTCGACGTTTCGTTAATCAAGCTTGCTAATGTCAGCTACGTTATCACTCGGTTATGCGATTGGGCGGATTTCAATTAGGCATCTTTTATATTTAACAATTGAGTGAGACGTTCTCTCGAATACAAAACGAAAACTCTTGATGAGACTAGAGTTGCTAGAAAAGCTGTACCGATGAATAGTGAAATTGCGCACACAATCCCTATAGTGGCTGACGCATGAACGAGTATTTTTCATAGTTATAGGATATTTCTGTCGCTCGAAACAACGTATTGTCGCCAGCGAATCAATGTAATAGCACTGCGATGAGGTTCTGGCCAAATGGTCCCGATTGAATCGCCGCACAATAATAGCAGACTTACGGCTTAGTGGAAACCAAATTACATTTTGCTCACAGTATATGCGCCACTTACAACAGCCGCGTCGCAAAAAGTTCTGTAGGTAAATTGAATAAATACAATTGGTCGGCATTGCGGACAAACAAGCCGGTAAATTCGTAGTGCCCGCCTCGGGAAAACAGCTTCGCCAAAAGAGGAGCTTGCGCTAGTCCGCCAAGTAGCTCAGCCCGCGAGGAAATTCCTTCCTGCCAATGATGTACAATGGAAGAAGCGCCAAAAGTAAAAGAAAGCAGAAACAGCTCTGTTCCCGGTCGACTTTCGGCCTCGCGCTCGGTTAGTACGAGAAGCAAGAGGAGGGGAGGAGGCGGTCCTCTAACTTATTCAATCAGAACAATCGCCGTTCGGAAAACAAAGCGCACAATTGGTGTACACGCGTGGAGCCAAGTTTTACGGGAAACGCTCGCGCGAGCCGTGAAGACCGAAGCGCTATATCGAGTTCTCTGCAGTTGACGGGCGCGAATTGTACGCGCGGACACCCCCACTCGCCGCTCCCTCGCTGCTCATTTCACGAGCGAGAGAAAACGAGAAAGATGGACGTACGTTAATGCCCGAGCGTTGATTTTTGTATTCGCGCGAGTGCTTATCCGCCGAGCTTCTTTTTACCGACACTTTTTTTTACGCGTGTTCGGCTTTTCTTGTTGTTTGCAGGCGGAATGAGTCTGGAAATGTAGTTTTGTAGTTTTCTCTTTTTATGCGTGTTCAGCTTTCTTGTCGTTTGCAGACTGAATGAGTCTGAAAATGTAGTTTTGTAGTTTTTTCATGTGCTACCCGAGTATGAGTGAGTTGTTAGTTACACGAGCGAAAATCAAGAGTATCAACTTTTTACACTGGCAGGTTCGTTACTGAAACTGATGTTTTATTGAAACATTTTTTTACGCCAAATGTAAAAGTCTCGCGTATCACAGAACCCAAAAAAAAATGTTATTTGAATTAAAAGTGCGTTTAGTTTCTCGGAGCTCTCCATTTACAGTGGAACGAACTTTTTTTAGTTTCAAACAATCGAATAAGGAGAAAGTCATGCGAATGTCAGCGTTTGATATGTCGACTAACATTGCACGATACACTTGATTGATTGGCAGAATGCATTATTTTTGAAGGCAGTGGCCGAATAAAAGCAAAAGAATGAAATTATTATAGCACACACGAATATTTTGGCGAAACAATCTACATGTTTCAACAGCATTGAAGCCCGCTCGTTCATTCAGTAGAGTCACTCGAGAAAGAGAAAACAAAACAGCGCATGTAGCGGCGCCACGGAAATCCAGCCTTGGCTCGGCTGCTGTAGAGAGAAAGAGAGAAAGAGAGAGAGAGAGAGAGAGAGAGAGAGAGAGAGAGAGAGAGAGAGAGAGAGAGAGAGAGAATGGCTCGTTCCGGCGAAATTGCAGTCTTAGTTCATGTGCGCTCGCGAAAAGGAGCGTTAAATTGGATCTACTCTTTCTCCCCCCTTTTCAAGCTACTCTCTAACGAGACTCTTTCTCTGCGGACGGCCCATTTCACGAAATCTCACTCATTTCTGAAAGATCGTCGCTCCAGCCTAGCTCTGATGCAAGTAAATCTTTAATTTTTTTATTGGATATCACCAATGGAGTCTCTAGTCTCGCGAACTTGATTTAATTGATAACTCCGTATAACTGCTGGCAATTAAGCCGCACCGTTGAAGAGAGGAAGTGCACGACGTCTCCGGCACCGTTTTCTTCGCTTTAATTCTCCTCTTCTGCGCTCAGGATATTCCGTCGATCATTTCATGGCTGCCTCTGTCACTATGTATCGTTCTTAGATGATTTCCAGTATTTCGACGGTTCAATCGTTATCACTTTCGTATCTCATTAGACTTTTTTTATCACTACCTTTACAAATAATTAAGTACTGCAGCGGGTTCCTGTATTTGTCATAACGGAATGTGAATCATTTTCTGTTAACAGATCCATTGCAAACATGCCTGCAATTGCAAAGATGCTTCCTCGAGCCGAGCCGCCGCAATAAGCTGCAAAGTCGCAGACGAAAAAATCAAGCGATCGAGGAATGATGTGCGAGCGATAGAGAGGTCGAGATAAAGTGAGAGAGAGAGAGAGAGGCGGAAGTGGAGAACGATAAAGATAATAAAAACAGAAAAGGAAGGCTGGCGGAGGAGGCCGCGTTAAGCGTTGGTGATGGTCTCGGGATGGTGTCCGTGTGTTTCCTTAGGGCGGCGGACAAGTTCGCAACAAGCGCAACAGGAACCGTCGCAGGATCCGTCGACTCGGCAAAAGAATCGACGTAGCGGCGGCCCGTTTACCATCAGTGCCGCCAACGACAGACCCGACATGGTGCAGATGTTCTATTATGAGAACCGTGGCAAGTGCTGCAGAAAGCTACTTCGATACAACGGTTATTCCAACAAGGTTAGCCAGATTATTCACTCATTCGTTTGTCGATAGATAGCTATTTTGTGGTTATTTTGGTTCAAACTAGTCGGTATAATAGCCTCCATTGATTCTCTGTTATAACCACCTATGTTTGTGGAATAGAGTTCAGAGAAGCGATTATCACGAATATTCGCAGTTCTAATAACAGCTTGCGTCTGCTGGATATGTCGATCGTGTTAGGCGTATTGAAGGATTCGCCTCATCATGGGAACTGTCGCTACTGAAACTCATTCCTCAGCTATGTACGTACACACTTGAAACATTTTTGGAGTGCAATTATTTAAAGTTTACTATCTCTCGGTCATTATCGCTAACGAGCAGACCAAGTTTAATTGTGGATCTTTTTTCCGAAAAAGTTTAAACGACCTACATAAACTGTCACGTTGGTTTTTTTTATTCCAACAAAATCGTATTTTCCAACTTTTTGTTGCATCGGAAATGTTTTTTAATTAAAAATAATTAATGACAGCGGACGCCCGTCGGAATATTTTAACGGGTGTACAGTTGATGGCTGCCTCTCTAGAAACGCACATCTTTTGCGAGATGCTAATTAAAACAGAGATTCTTTGAGAAGAGTAGGAGGCCAACGGATAAACGGACGAAGCTTTGCAAAATTAATTTCCCTGCTGCTGCTTGTCGCGTCATGCAACATTCTCACCGTCTACGAATGTCAAGGCCTTTTCGCTCGTTCTTTTCCACGTCCGCGTAATCACGAGAGAGAGAGAGAGAGAGAGAGAGAGAGTAATTCGGTTGAGCTGCAACAAGTTTTGCTTTGGGTAAATGCATTTGCATAATTTCGTTATCGCGTCCGTACGTACAATCAGTCCACGGTTTAAACAGAATTATGAAAAAATCCAAATGAAAAACTTAGCTCCGTCGTCGGTTGCCACCGCCACCACCATTCCAGCGATTTTGCAAACGGCTACAGATCCGCGGAACTTAATTTTCTAATGGTAAATTTGATAATTGAATTGATTTATTTTTCGATTTCTGAAGCTCAAAATACCTTCTTCTTCGTCTTTCCAGTGACTAAGTTTAACTTTGACTTTTTCTGGTGGAGCTTTAGGCCTTATCCTTTCCTATAGATTACTTCTGTTAAGTGTGACGTGAATATTTGATTCTTTCAAAACTCTTTCGAGTAATTTATTATTGACATCTTATAAACCAAAGAATTAAAATTATACTTTAGATATGGTTCTCTTTCAGAGTCTTCCTTGGTAAATTTTGCCAAAAAATAATGATAAGCACATAACAGATAATTGAAATATCAAGAAACTCAAACTGGTTCATCTTCCATGTGAAAAAAAAGGAAATATAACGTAAAATCTAATTTTATCGAAAGTCCTTTCATCTGCGCTCTCGTTAATGTCTCTTTTTGCATGGTCGCCCTCCTTTTCCGACACTCTATTACGCCGACAAGAGCAGGCAATGTAAGGGTAAGGTTTTTTATCTGAAAGGGGAATTTTGCTTTTGAATTTGTCGATAATCCACGACTGCTCATACATGGGTCAGCCGGACAGTCCGATTTTCAATAGATACATACGTGCACGTAAAGACAATGGGAAAGTTGTCGGGTGCTCGGCGGCTAGGATTGCATTTTATTGCAGGACCCGCAGATGAAGCACGCATCGAGTATTACGCGGTAGGAGGTGAGTTATAGCCATGTAGTTCGGGTGTAGTGGGCTACTGCCGCGTTTCGCTCTGATCGACCGGTGCTGAGCTCCTTTCCGGGTCACAACGACTTCGATTTTGAGACACTGACAACGACAGTCAAGATAAGGACACTTTGGACACTTGTAAAAGTCGAATATCTCATCGCAGTGAAATACAGTCGGAGAGAAGCAATCGAAAAGTTGTCCGTGGAGAGGATGTTCGCATTGCGATCGGCCAGCGAAAACAAAGCGTGCCGCGTATAGCAAACGGACGCTTTCGGCAAGACGGAGAGCGCCCAGCCTTGCTCGCCGGCAAGTTGAAGTTTGCTACGCTGGGACGTGCGCGAGTCGAAAGTTTTTGTCGGTCGCCTGCACGTACACAGGTTGCAGGCTGGTCATGAGTGCATCGAGCGCGCGTGCTCCGTGCTCGGTTCTGCTTGCGCCAGAAGCAGCTTGACCAGCCCTCCCGAGGGGCCTCTCCGCTCTCGGCGCACGCCTCGGCGAGATCATCTGGTTTGGCGGCCGATATGTCCTGCCGGGCGTGCCTCCGACGAGGAAAGAGAGTTCGGCCCGGACAAACTTCCCAACTTGGAATTTGCGAGGTCGATAAGCAGTGCCATTGTTTCGTGTGCGCGCACGAAAGAGCAGCGCGCCGCCCGGCCGGAGATAAATCGACTGGTGATCCGTGTCAGCGCTATTCGATTTAACGTGCCACGTGCTTAGCCAAGCGAGGCAACTTAGCTGGTACTTGGCCGACTGCTTGGTGCTGCGTGCTCTCTCCACTTTGACTGCAGTCGGCAATCGTTGCGCCCTCACGAACGGAGGATCGGCCGCTAATCGCGCGCGATTTCGCTGACTCGGATCGGCAATCTTCGCCGAGCGTGGTCCTCGTATTCGGAAAAAGGGAAGTTTGGAAGGACGCCAAGGACGCCAAGGACGTCAGAGGGCTGGGGCTTTTCGGAGAAGCTCGATCGTTCTCCAGCTCGCATCGAGCTCCCGAGCTTGCAAGTCGCCCCTCGCAAAGAACTTTCCATTTCGGAAGCGATCGCGCATCGAAAGCAAGATTTGCGCGCGTCGGTGCCACTGCCAGCTAGAAAGCTAGAAAGCTAGGAAGCTAGAAGGCTAGAGGGCCAGCTGGTTGCGCGAAAACGATCAAGCTTGGCGCCGACGTAGGCAGCCAGCGGCAGGAGGGCTTTGAGCTTTAGGTAGGTAGGTGGGGCGCCTGCAGAATTTTTACGAGGCCGGTAATTGCTCGAGCGCGCGGATGCCTCGAATGGACGCGCGGAAGTTGAGAGTGGGATATTTCGAGCTCTCCCGCCGCTCGACGATTTGCTCTCGGGGATTTCGTCGCTGATCCTCGCGCGCTATATGCAGCCTCGCAGCCTCGCAGCCTCGCGGTGCTATATACTCGTATATAAAGGCATAGGCACGTCGCGCTACGGGACTGATAACAGCCTCCGAAATAACGCGCGCTAATTTTTCCGGCTGGCCGTGGGCCTCTGAAAAGACCAGATTTTCTATTATTCGTTGGCTGCCATAATGGTATTGATACGTTATTGCAACAACGGGCAGGATTGTCATACAAGTTATTGTTTGGCCCTCGAAAGAGAGAAAATGAAACGAGGACAGGACGAGCGAGCGAACGAGCGGCAAAAAATACGAAGAACAGAAGAACACGAGCTTGCACGAATAATTCAAGTCTCGCAGTTGTACGAGCTCTCTTTTGTCGCTCGCTCTCTCGCTCGTTTGTTCCGACGACTGCTATTCCAATGAAAAGGAACAAAACGCCATTTCGATTTTTCGCTCGGTCGTAAGCATCGCTCCGCTTTCGGTTGGCATACACGCGCAAGCATCAGTCAAATCGTTTGAGCACGAGAGAAAGGCCAAGACCGAGTCTCGAAAAGGCCCAGGCTCCGCTCGTAGACGAGCGGTGCGAGCGAGCCTGGATTGGATAAAGCTCGCTTGCGGTATAGGCGTCACCTACAGGCAGTGTGCGCGCCCGAGCTCCATACCTATAACTTTCGCGTCGACGAGCCAAGACCACCGAGACGAGACGAGGCGCCGCGGCTTTATTGCTCCTCGGCGAAACGATTCTCGGTTTTTTCGCGAGTGCGCTCCACATTTCACTGCCACACACCGAGCGCGAGAAAGACAGAACGGAGGCATCGTTTGGGTGGCTCTTGCTAACGCGCCTCGTTACACTTAGTATTCTGCATGCTAGACAACGGCGTGTCGATATCGTCCTTGGCATTGTTACGATGTATACATATGTATGTTGATAGGTCGATTCGTACGTAATAACCGGTGACCAATAACAGTCGCTGCAGTCACGGAATGCTAACGAAGCGAGATGTTGATGTAGCGAGAGCGCGCGACGGAAAAAAATCTAAAAAAATGTACGTATAAGCTTCCGGCTATGCATGCTATATGTGATATCGCATTAACGCCGGCTATACGGAAATCACATTCGGCAATTCCCTTGAGCCACGGGGAAGGAGCAAAAAAGAAATCAAAATTCGCTTCGATTTCCCGCTTCGCTACTCCCACGAACGACCTTACGCGCCACTCGAGATTGGCCGTGCTCTCTATCTCTCTTGCTTTCTCTCTCTCTCTCTTGCTTCTCTCTCTCTCTCTCTCTCTCTCTCTCTCTCTCTCTCTCTCTCTCTCTAGCAAGCGATCGAGTAGCGGAATCACTCTGGTAAACAGTCGATAAGAGACGTTTAAGATTTCTATTTGGTGCGGTCTCTTTTTCTTGCTTGCCTTCCAAATCGCCGGTATATACGATTTTAGAGACGACGATTTTTTTCCGTTGGCTTTATCGCAACTGTACGTTTGATGTCTTCAGTTCCAGTTGGTTTTCTTTCCGTGCTCAGCTATTGTCGGACTGCGCGGAAAAGCTGCAAATTCAGCGATATTGCTTATCGTACTCACCTTCAATACTCGACCTACCGTTATCGAGATACTTTCAGCAAGTTATAAATTACTAAAGTCATGCACACCGATGCAATCGCTCTCGCCTTGGCAAACGAAAGATCTTGAAGCATTCCGCGTAAATAAGTGGCATCCTTAGTGGCATCAACTTTGACAACCACAAATTAATAACGACCTTGGTTGTTGTTCTTTTTTCGGAATTTTCCGTGAAGCCCACAGCCACGCGCACGCAAGTTAAATACATCACCAGAAGCGAATCTAAATTTCAGGCGGCGCCGTTGTCGCGCGGCAAAAAATCGGAGACGCGTCAACGCGAAAATTAGTTTTTCCCCGAGTTGCCTTCCGACAGCCGCGTGCTCGCTTCGACAAAACAAGTAGGAAATGAAAAAAGAG